TTGTCAAGGATGGACTGTGGCGGTTTCCTACAGTAGCAACTTAGCTGAATCGGAAACTGCGTTCTCCCTTCCTGTTTCACACGGGGCTAGGGTTCCCCGGAAGAGAAATGTACATGAGACTTGGCGAGGCAGAAGTGAAGCAGCCGCCCGCTCGCTCTGCGGAGGGCACCGTTCTCAGGGATCTGGTGGCTCACCTCGGCTTCGGGCAGCAGCTGTGATTGCTGCCGATCCCCCCCTTCGGTTCTGCAACTCCTGCACCAGTCCGTGGTCAGCTCCCTGGCAAAGGGCCCCAGATCCTTCTCCAAGGTCACCCACATCATCAAGGTTGATAAAAGGCAAATGTGGGTTCCAGTTCTTCCTCCAGATTCCACTTCTTTGTCCTCCTCGACTTCATGGCCAGCTTTTCTCCCGGGGTGTTGGCTCCACTGACCCACAGGGACTTCAGCCCATTATCAGACCTGGAGGCAACACACTCCCCTTGACTTCTTCACTAGACCCACGGCTGTCTAATTCCCCCGGGACGAACCCCTCCTTTTCTCTCTGTCCGCACTTTGGCTTCTGATCGGAACTTGATACATGTGTCTTCCACTAAACATCAGCAAGGTTGTCACAGGAAAGGAAATCAGGAACCCTGGAAAACACCGGCATTCACAACCACCTCTGCACGGGCAGGCAGTCCTCTATGGACAGGTTTACCTTGGGACTTTTTATCTAGAGACCTTATTCTTGCCCATTCTTCTGGGGGCCGGTGCTTAATACTCACTTTCTGCCCACATCCATACATAATGACTGTCTCCAGTTAGAGCTTGAAAGCACACATCAACCCCCATTTCCTGAGACCGGATGTTGTATGTTTGGGGGCTAAACCATAAATTTAACATGTTGTGGCTTATCTACAAAAGCCTGTTCACAAGCAAGGTGTTGGCCATATTGCTTATATCCATTCAATTTGGCTTGCCACTCATCTTACCTTCCAGGAGACCTAGTTAGAGCAATTTATCAGTGCTCTGTCTTAGTCAACTTCTGAAGTGTGATTCAGGTCCTAGTTCTTTATTTTAATATAGCTTTTCATTTTTGTTTTACTGTAACCTCCAATTTTCTCTTTCCCGTGCTTTATTACCTTTCCAGAAGGTCGCCTGTGCTCATTTACTGTCAACATGTGATTGCTGGGTTGTGTATGTTACTTCTTTCATATTTCCTCCACCTGACAGCTTTCATGCCCCACCTCCCTCCTGCTTGTCCTGATCCCAAAGCAGTTAGCACAAGCTGTTCATTGCAATGTGAGCTCCAGGGGCGCCTGGGTGGCTCAGTCCATTAAGCATAAGACTTTGGCTCAGGTCATGATCTCACAGTTCGTGGGTTTGAGCCCCGCATCGGGCTCTGTGCTGACAGCTCGGAGCCTGGAGCCTGCTTCAGATTCTGTGTCTCCCTCTCTCTGCCCCCCACTGACGCTCTGTCTCTTAAGAATTAATAAACATTTAAAAAATTAAAAAAAGAAATGCAACCTCCATCTCTTGGTTAATATGCATTGATTGGAAAAGTATTAACTGTTGTAATGAATGTATATCGAGGGGCTAGACCCGTTGGGCTGTTCAACTAAAGGTTAACGATGGCAGCTGTATCTGCTGAATCTGTACATAACAGACTCCTGCTATTAAATCATTACACCCATTCAGCACAAAGCAACCCTTGCTGGATGCTGAGAATGACGCATGTACTGGTCGGTCAGAAGCTCTGCTTTCTCAGGAAGACAACACTCAATTATTTCCCAGTCAGCTGAGGCACCTAGCAAGGCCCAGAAACCTGGGAAGTCTGGTTTTTAGAGCCATAGTTGGTTAATCCACTTTATTTTCATGAAGTGGTTAACATTCCTCATGAAGAAATAGAGGCTAAGTGACTCAAAACAGATTAGCAAAAAAGTCCTGGGTCTCTCAGAATTCTTGGTATGTGGGTTGGCAGGATTCCTGTGGGCCCCAGGACAGTCTTTTTCTCAAAATCATCAAGTTCAAAGACCATCAATCATTTCCACGTAGCTAAAGAAGAGAAATTGTATTGATTCTTCTCCTTGTTTTGTTACAAAAAAAAGGGGGGGGGGAGAAAAGATAAAGAAATAAAGGGAAAAAAGCCTTACACACTCTATCAGAAATTTAACTTTTGGATTTAGAGTAAACAAAAAGAAACGCCTAGGAAAACACCATGTATTTTAAATCACTAATTATATAACAACTTGACTCCTTAAATATGTTCTGACACCAAGAAAAGTACTAGTCTGAAGAAGAGAAAACACCAAAAGAGAAATTTACTTTTCACCTGATTAACACTTCGTAGTAAAAATAATTCAAACAGCTCTCAGCTAATTCCCATTAAATCCAGTCTTCGCTTTCTTTTTCACTTCTAGTAGAAAAGCTATTTAAAAAAATAACTGGCAAAAATAGTTTGTTACAACAGTTCTAAGCAATGTTCACAAAAATACGTCAAGCGTAGTCATCTAGAACAGGACATGGCAGGATTCTTCAATTCGGCGACTCACGCCAGGCATGTTTCCAATTTGCTGTGACTCTTCCCTATGGCCAGCTCCCTCTAGACATGTATTTTAATAAAACCCAGAAAACCTTGAGATCGTGTTCTTCCCCTCCCCCGACACCCTCTTTTCTGTGGCTTGGGAACCCCTGGGATACCAGCTATGGATTAACCAGGTGTGATGGGAAAGCCACTGTACCCAAGGAGCTGAGTTCAGTTTGCTGTCAAAAGAGCAGGAAATTGCACTTTGCTGCTCTGTACTCTCTGTGGTTAATGTTACCAAAGATGCCAAGTGAGAAAGTGGCAATGGGGCAGGGGAGGGACCGTCAAGACCCCTAAATGGCAGATGCTCACACATATTTATCAGATAGCCACTGCAAAAGATCACAGAATTCTAACTAATCAATCTAGCAGTGACCTGATCATCAAAACTCAAAGGCTGGAGTGGAACCCCCCCCCCCAAACCTCAAAGGTGACTTCACCTGACATTTCCCCTAATTTGGAGAGAATTTCGTTGGTAGAAGAGGGGGTGATGACTGGGCACGCTGATGACTGGGGCTCTTTGGGTTCCTTGCTAATTCTCTCCGCTTCACCCTGAGAACACAGAATGTTTTCCCTTCCTCATCTTTCTTTCCCCATATAAAAACATGTGTTTCTTTCCAAATTACGTTACATACACAAGGTACCGGAGGTAAGAGATGCTTGAACCTGAGTTGAGGAAAAAAGACACACCCCCAAATGAGTTTCATTTATATAATGAAAATAAATTTTTACACAATCAACAGAAACACATCAAGTTTGTTTTGTTTTGTTTTTTGCGAAAAATATTTTTAAATAAATTTTTGTCTTTTTTTT